ACTAACAACAGTAAAAGTTATGAAACTCTATTACTATTGTTAAACCTTTCATCTCAAAAATATGAATTAATAAATGGCATCTATTTTGAACCTTGAATACTTTCAAGTTCGACTTAGAGGTCCTGAGCTTATTCTCTCACATGACAAATCATTCTGAAGAACTTTCTAGGTTCTGGATATTTGGGATACAGTACTAAACAAGTTTAAGTACCCTCATGGAGCTTACATTTAGTAAAAAAAAAAAAAGAAAGAAAGAAATACTAGACAGAAAGAAAATAGAGATGAAAATCCCTATAATCTGTGACAAATTCTTTCTTTCTTTTTTTTTTTTTAAGCTGGGCATCCTGCCACCTGTTGGCAGCTCAGCTCAGCTCAGCTCGGGCCCATGTGGGAATCCAACTAGCAACCCTGTTGCTCAGCGCTCGTCCTCTTGAGCGAGCTCTTAACCAACTGAGCCACTCCGCCGGCCTGACAAATTCTTATAGTATCACTAATCTAATGTAGACAAAGAAAAAGAGAGATCACATGATGATTTAATTCAACAAAAAATTACTGGGTACAATAATGTGAGAGGCTCTGTGTATGACGTTTCCAAGCAGTAAAAACCGAGACTAATGAATTTAATGACAGTCACTAACTCAGATCCACCAATGACTTCAGTCTTTTGTTGAACAGACGGCATGCTAGGCATTCAATCAGGTTAAATATTTCCTTTAAAGTTATGCATTCTTAGAACTCAACTGGATGCAGCTGCCTTTCTGAGGCAGAAGATACTTTTTGTTGTTGTTAAATGATGGAATGTTATGAACTACACATATGAAATTGAAAACAGGAGAAGGGGTTGCAGGTTTCCTACTACGATAATAATTTCTTGAAATTTTAGTCAGGTAGCTAGCTGCTCATACACCTGTTGTCAGCTTTATTTAATGTGAGTCCATGACCTGTGAAAAGGATCTGCTTTAAAGAATAATTTTTAGGTATCCTGTACAAAAACACAATTTGAAAATTAGTGGGAAATTTACCTTTTGCTCTTTTGGGAAAAAAAACAAAACAGGACTATGGAGACACCAAGATCATGCCTTCTCTAGGTATATGCTTTGCTTGTCTCCACTCCCTTCACTGTATTTTATTTTATTTATTTTTAATTTTTAAAATTTTATTGGGGAATAGCCATGGTCATTGGTTACACACGCTACAATGGCATAGTTGACTTTTAGGGAAGGTGCAGCTCAGTGGCCTGTGCGGGGATCCAACCGGAAACCTTGGTGCCATCAGCAGGATGCTCTAACCAACTGAGCTAACCAATCACCCCGCTTAACTATATTTTAGAATTCATACAGATTATGTGAGAAGTATAAGTTACTTAGAAGTAACAATAGTTAAAAAGTATATGTTCTTAACTCCTTGCCATTCCACTGCTCATATTGTATCTCTTACAAATGGTATTGCTGTACAATAGAATACTATGTAACCATTAAAGATAATGAGAGATAGATCTTTATTATGTGTAACAATCTTCAAGATATAATAAGTGAAAAATTAGACAAAGAACAGTGTGCATGGAGGGAGGGAGGGAGGGAGGGAGGGAGAGAGAGAGAGAGAGAGAGAGAGAGAGAGAGAATTAAGTTGCAACTGGTAACGCCAGGAATACATCTCACAAAGCCCCTTCCTTCCTTCCCTTCAGCAGGGTTCCCTAGAGAACAGCAGGAGCCAACGTGGTCTGCCCTGGGAAAGGAATGAAATTAGTGAAAGGGAAGTACCAGGTTCGGTGGTAGGGGGGGTACTCTTGCAGAAAAGAGCCCAAAAGCCAAAAGAGGCTGGAAAGGCTGGTCGTATGTATGGGTTGTTTATAAACTGGGTATTTATAAAAAAGAGGATTGCATTTTTAAGTAATTAAGCATCTGTGTTCCATTCAGAAATACACTCACCCCCATATAGAACAGCTAACTCTTAAGAACTGTCTGATATCGGCTACTTGCTATATAACTTTTTATCACGTCATCCTTCACATCACAAACTGGGGCACCTAGGGGTTCAAGAGTGAAGGTGCCAGAAGAATAAGCCACTTTCTCATGTAATGGACATCTTCTCGTGGGCTCTGTTTTTCTTCTACCTTTGAGGAAAGAAACGGGGGAATTCTGCTTGTAAAATGCTACCTGTTTACAGAACACACAGTTCTCTAGCAGTCGGGGAGAGGCTGTAGAAAAAAGATTAAGGCAGTGGGAAATTTCATTATACTTATTCAGCCTGAAACTAAAACAAATAAAAAAGGGAAACAGCTTATTCCTGTTATTTTGACTTCCTCTTATTGTGTCTCCCTTGCATGTGCTAGCCTTGTGATTTGGAATTAATCAGAGGTTATTTCTAGTTGCCCCATTAAAAAAAAAAAAGGAAGGCAAAATCCCAATCGGCTTTTTGGAGAAACTGACGAGCTGATTCTGAAATTCACATGGATATGCCAAGGACCAGGAAGAGCCAAAGCAACTTTTAAAGAGAACAAAAGTTGGGGATTAACACTACCTGATTTTAAGAATTACTACAAGGCCACAGTAAACAAGGTAATGCAGTGTTGGCATCAAGGCAGACAGATAGATCAATTGAACAGAACTGCGATTCCAGAAATAAACCACAGATACATGAGAAACTGATGGTGACAAGGGTGCAGAGGCCTTTCTACAGAGGAAGATAGTGTTTTCAACCAATAGTGCTAGAACAACTGGCTATCCATATTTAAAAAAGGACTTTGATACTTATGTAGTAACATATAACAAAATTAACTGAAGTTGTATGTATCATAGACTTAAGTATAAAACTTAAAACTTCAAATTATAGGGCCGGCCGAGTGGCGCATTGGTTAAGAACTGGCTTGGGACGCCAGAGGGCCCGGTTCAGATCCCACATATGAGGGCCAGTGACACTGCCCTCTACGGCTAAGATGCTGAACAACAGCTCGACCTGGAGCTGGGCTGCTGTGGGTCGCCAGCGATGGTGTAGGCTGCAGTCCCCTGCTGTAGTGGGCTGCCATAAGCTACCATGTGTAGCCGGTAGCCAGCATGAGCGGCCAGCAGCCGCCGTGAGCGGCCGTCCAGAAGCCGGCGACTGATCTGCCTCGCCCGGGAAGAGCGCAATGATGGTGCCAGCTTGGGCCAGTGAAGCAACATCCTCCACAANAAAAAAAAAAAAAAAAAAAAAAAAAATAGGCGCTTTGGAGGCCATCGAGAGACATCCATTCACATGATCTGCAACCAGTGACTGTCCCTTGGATATGGGTTACACGATGTGCACTGACAGAATAGAAATAAAGGGAAAAGGAGAATCCTACACTATTGGAATATTTCCAATGCCATGCCAATTTTAGTATTACACCTAAGGACTAGTTATTAATCATTTAATCTTATTGCAGAGAAGGAAGGTTTGCTCCAGACAGATGGAAAGACTTGACTGAGGTCATATATTTATGCTCAATGGCATGACAGGCAAAGACTCAGGCAATGAACTTTAACATTATGTGACCAGGCATGTGTCAAAAGCCATAAACATGGGATTTTTGTTTAAAAATCACACGGAAGCCATGCAAAACAAGACTGAAACACGGAGGGAAAGGAAGAAAAGACAGACTCCATCCCCCCACACCAGAGAAATGAAACCACTGGTAATTACTGATCGTACATTACAAAGCTACAAGGCAAAACAAATAAGCAATAGTTTTCAGTGAAAAATTACCCCAAGGCATATTTAATTACATAGAAACATCCGTCTTTTTCAGTCAGTCTTAAATAACATAAATTAATGTCACTCTAAATGTAACAGCATATAGAAATAATAGGTTTAGGTTTTATTTTTATCACAATTATAATTTCACAGTGATTCAAGAAAAGACTACACATGACTAAATGAACACATTTACTCCATTTCAGTGCAGGAGGGGGAGAAAGACAAGCAAAAGAAAAGATACAGCCTTTTGTATGAATTCTATTGAGTTGGCTACTTAGGAAATCAGATTCTCTAAGCTCCTAGAACGGCAAAGAGAAAGTTATCTTTGCTGCCATATAAAAAAAAATTAGCTTTTTAATATTAAAAGCTAGGGTAATGTTGCAAAAAATGTAGTAAAGCACTTCATAAAACTTTTACTAACAAACTTTAAGATGTCCATCAAAATCAATATAACCTCTAACTAAAAGTTTAAACTCTAAAAGTCTGCTCAGATACTTAAACTCAGCTGCACTTTGCAGCGACTGTGCGTTCTTAGTACGCTCAGGTCTCATCTTTGGCCAGTTCTCCTTTTGGGAGTATCATCTTCCTACTGCTCACACAGACACCCTTAAGGTCTTCTCTTCCCTTCTCCAAATCTCATCTCAAGACAGACTGGGGAACATCCTTACCAACGTATAAAGATCTATGACACTGGAAAGGAGTTACGCCCTCTAGTATTTTTTTTTTTTTAGCTAGACTATCTTTCAGAGCAGTTTCACGTTCACAGCAAAACTTAGCAGGGAGTAGAGCTTCTACCATCCCCTTATATTTTAATGGATATCAAATACTGAAATAAAAGAATTCTTAATCTGGCGTCTAGGGAATCCATGGGTGGTATTCACTGGATCACTGATCTCAAAGATATTATATCCTGAATTTTGGTATATGGGTGTATCTACATTTTTTAGGAAGCAGGTCTCATCAGGTTATCAAGGGGTTGGCATTCAAACACAGCTAAGGCCACTAAACTAAAGAATGAAGTTCAAGGTCCAGACATCAGGTAGAGACTAAAGGAATGACTCTGGGGACAGCAAAGCTTCACCAGTGTCCCTAAAATCATACCACACAGGTAGGTGGCTGCCAGTCCAAGTATCAATGTGTATATCCAGGCCTCTAACTCAACAGGGGTTGTAGAAATACCCTAGTTAAGTACATGACAACCAAGAAAACAACTTTCAGAACTTGTGATGCCCTCTCTCTTTTTTCTTTCTTTCTTTCTTTTTTTCCTCTTTTTTCTTTTAACATACCTTTAAAGCTTCTATAACAAGATCCCTTGCTTCAAGCTCTCCTTCAAGAATACTGAATAGTGTTAGGAGTTCAGGCTTGCTGAGTTTTTCCAGATTCATCTTGAAGGCCTAAAACAGAGACAACAGTCAGATAATCCCCAAAAGACAGTTAATTTGATATTATTAAAGAAAAAATACATTCAGACAACAAAAGAGCAACTATTACAGTATAAAATGTTTTAAGAAAGGATTTTCTTTCTGGCGCATTGGTTAAGAGCTGGCTTGGGCCGCCAGCTCTAAGCAGCAGGGCCCGGGTTCGGACCCCACATGAGGGCCAGTGACACTGCCCTCTACAGCTAAAATGGTGAACAACAGCTCAACCTGGAGCTGGGCTGCCGTGAGTCGCCAGCGATGGTGTAGGCTGCAGTGAAGCTGCAGTGGGCTGCCATAAGCTACCGTGTGTGGCTGGCAGCCAGCGTGAGTGGCCAGCAGCTGGTGTGAGCTGCCAAGAGACGCCGTGAGCAGCCGTCCAGAGGCGGGCGACCGATCTGCCTCACCCGGGAGAGCGCAATGATGATACCAACATGGGCCAGTCAAGCAACGTCCTCCATAACTAGACTGAAGAACAATAGGATAGCAACTTGTCTGTTCCCCTCCCCCAATTCCCCAATAAAATGTTTAAAAAAACAAACCAACAAAAAAGAAAAAAAAAAAACCCCTTCAAATTATAGAAAAAGGAGAAAACCTTACTGACCTTGGTTTAGGCAAAGATTTCTTAATATGTGACACTAGAAGCAAAATACATAAAAACAACATTGATAAATTGGACTTCATCAAAATGAAAAACTTTTGCTCTTCAAAAGACACAGTTAAGAGAATGACATGACAAGCCACACACTGGGAGAAAAGGCATGTATCTAATGAAGGACTTGAATCCAGATATATAAGGAATGCTCAAAACTCTAGTGAGAAAATAAATAATTCAATTTAAAAAAACTGGCAAAAGATTTGAACAAATACTCCAGCGAAGAAAACAACATAGATGGCCAATAAGCACACAAAAGGTGCTCAACACCATTAGTCAACAGGAACCTGCACATTAAAACAGTACTGAGACATTCCACACCTACCAGAGAGGCTAAAATGAAAACACTGGCCCCACCAAGTGCCGGTGAGGAGGTAGAGCAGCTGGAACTTGTATGTATGCTGGTGGGATGTGAAATGGTACATGGCTTTGGAAAAAAGTCTGGGAGTTTCTTAGAGTTAAATATACACCCCCCACATTAATAGGTATTTCCATTCCTAGGTATTTATCCAAAAGAAATGAAAGCACATGGCCATACAAAACCTTGTATATGAATGTTCGTAACAGCTTCATTTTTTAATAGTCCCAAAGTGGAAACAATGAAAATGTTCATCAATAGATGAACAGATAAAACAAACTGGTACATACATACAATGGACCACTACTCAGTAATAAAAGGAATGAAATATTTAAAACAGGAATGAACTATTAATACAACAACATGGATGGATCCCAAGATAATTGCACTGAGTGCAAGAGCCAGGCACCCTCCCTCCAAAAGGGGACATTCTGTATAATTCCACTTTTATAAAATTCCAGAAAATGTAAATTAATCTCTAGTGGATCAGTGGTTTAAGGGGAGGGGTGGGGAGCAGTGGGGAAGGTTAGATAAAGGGGCTACCAAGGGGCACAAGGAAAATTTGGAGGTGATGGATATGTTCCTTATCTTGATTATAGTAATGCTTTTATGAGGAATACATATATCAAAACATCAATTTGTACACATTAAATATATGCAGCTTGTTTATTATGTCAAATATCCCTCAATAAAAGCATTTAAAAAAACAAAATATAACAGTGTGACAAATCATATGTAGAGAAATAAAGAAATCAATGGAAAAAAATCAATTCTAAAAAGGCTTCCACGCTCTCTCTGTATTTCCTGTTTTCATTATAAGGAGAGAAAGATGGGAATATAACATAACATCTGTTTCATGCCCCAGAGTGCACCCTTAACCCTTGCCAGCTGTCTCAAAATATGTGTTTTTGGTTGTGGGGGTGGAGATGAATCAACTCAAAGCTCTCAACTCCCAAAAGAAAAACAAACTAAAGTGTAAGTCCTGTTGATTAACAAAGATTTAATTTAAATACTTATCTTTCTTACCAAGGACAGCATTATTATAGCATTTTGCAATACTGCATTCTTTACGGACTAGACCTTGTTGCTACATAGATGGACTTTAAAACACCTATGTTCTGATAACGAAGTGTGAATGAGCACTGAGCACCTCAGTTAGCATTTGCTATCTCATTTAATCCTCACAATAACCATACAAATTTACAGATAAAGCTTACAGGGTAAATAACTGGCCTAAGATCAAACAACAATTAAATGGCAGAGCTCAAAGCCAGGTCTAATTTGAAAGCTTATAGTCTTAACAGCTACACTTAATTGAATGTTCTAGTTGATAGTTTTGTAGAGTGCCTAGTAACTTATCTTTACGTTCCTTTTTTGAAAAGCTAGGATACCATGTATGGACTTTACTCAGAGAATAGGGATGAAAAAATAGCCATTCCAACTATAAAAACACATTAAAATAGGGCCCCAAAATGATTACTTCCCTTCTAAACCATATTTCATAGTAAAGGTTACAAATATAAATCTAAAACGTTGTAATTCAATTTCCTAAATAAAGTTCTGTTTGCTTCCTAATATTCCAATTCTTTTATCCAGGCAGAAATTGACATCTCCCAGTTACAGATTTTATGCAATCTTCATCAAAGATCTAAACTACCTACTCCGATCCTAAAAGCTCTTCCTAAAAATCATCTATCAAAATGGGATCATTTTTGACCAAAGAACTGTTAGGTCCAGGCTTCTGGGTGCTGAAGAATGCATCAACTTTGAGTCCACTTAAATACATGCACAGATCTGTTATTAAACAAGCTAACATCTGATTTTTTTTTCAACACAAATACTCTTGACAGTCTTACCAATATAATGTATACTCATTGCTAAACTCAATATTTTCTTCCCCCTCTCTGACCAGACTTTATAATAATTTGCTTCCATAAAAGGCACAAGGCCGTGACCAAAAGCAGATGTCAGACTTCGCTGACAGTGAACTTGTATTTGTGATTCTTGAGCCACAGCACCTTCCATAATTTTTTTCCCTCTATATATTTGGCATTGTCATAGATCCTTATAATTACTATTATTTTAAGAAGACTTTTAGCAAAAGTACAGGCATACCTCGGAGATGCTATAGGTTCGGTTCTAGTCCACTGCAATAAAGTGAGTCACATGAATTTTTTGGTTTCCCAGTGCATATAAAAGTTATGTGTATACTATACTGTAGTCTATTAAATGTGCAATTGCATTATGTCTAAAAAACAACGTCCGCACTTTAATTAAAAACACTTTATTGCTTAAAAATGCTAACCATCATCTGAGCCTTCAGTGAGTCTAATCTTTTATGACAGGGATGCAGGGTTGCCACAAACCTGTAAAAAAAACACAGTATCTGCAAAATACAACACTAAAGCGAAGTGCCATGAAACAAGATATGCCGGTAAGTCATTTACTGTTTCAACACAGACCTATGTGTAACATTTAGATTTTTTACTTTTAATCCCTGGCTCCTTAAAAAACTCAACACTTTAGACCAGTGGAGTGACATACTACAGTCTCATACTCTAAGTATTTAATTTCGAACTTTGTGCTGTCTAGAACGTTTTTGTCAGTAAATCTTCTTGCTTGGGGAATTCTGTAATGGCCTTTGGCCAAAACCAACAGAGTTCTATTCTAAGCTTTAAAAGAGTTATACCTGTTTTATGATTGAGACATCAGTGGAAAGGAATTCAAGACTCCTTAAGCTAATTCTACATGAAAGTTGGGATACTTTACCATTTATTGTTGTACAAGCAACTTAAAGTATGCTTTAAAATAAAGATACTAATAAATATAGGGTTGATTCTACTTAGTGATAGCCAAATGTGGCTTTGCATCAAATGTACAGATATGCCCAAGGAGGAAGATTCAAAAATAAACTATTCAATCTACCTTTTATTAGCAGTCAAATCTATTTTCTAAGTTTTGAAAATTGCCATTGATTAAGGTTCCCCCATCTTCTTGTGGAGTAGTCAGACCACACTGGGAAGCCATTTCCTAGATTTGCTTGGAATTAATGAGCTGAGGCTCTTTTGCTGAACTGAGTGATTCCACCCCAGCCTCCGACAGTTAGCTCATGAGCAATGTGACTTGCTTTCACTGTGGAAGAGATTCCTATAGTGTCCTCATTCATGAAAATAAAGGAAGTGGTCCAAGGAAAAGACTTCCATAAAGAATGTTTTTCTCTGATGTAATCCCTTCTAAAACAGAAAATCACTTTATATAAAGTTCAATTAGGACCAAAGACAGTATAAATGGCCTCTGTAACACTTAGACTTCAAATACAGCAGAGGCTGAATATTACATTATTTTCTATTGGCTTCCCTGGTTCTATGCCAAACATGTCTTGGCCACAACAGAAGAGTGAGAAGGCTTTTATATTTTAGGGAGAAAAAGGAACATAACTATGGGGGCCCTTAGAAGGGTGTAGATGCAATCTGGCTCTTTGCAGAAATTTTTGAAATATAAATGAAGCTCTTTTGTAATTATAACTCCATAGGTAGGATCTACCTACAAACTATGGGAACTTTATAATATATAAATATATCCCTATAGAAACCCAACCTTTGCCAGTGTGACCTACTATTTATCTAGCAGCAATAGTGAACCATATGGTTTTATTCCGAATGCAAGGTGAAAGAATAGATTTTATGTCCAAGAAAAAACTCTATTTTGAAGGAGAAAAAAAAGATAAGCTCTTTTTAGTTTCACAGAAAGGAAAAACCAATCATAGCCATTTAGAGCATAGACCGAAATGTTTTCAACCCACTGAGCATGAATTAAGAAAGTATACTAAAAGAAAAGCAGTAAGCTGTCATAGTAGTCCAAGAAGCCTAACAGGTGTTTGTTATTAAGCAAGATAGAAATAATGCAGTAAAATCTTGGCATACTACAGAGCAAAACAAACAAAAACAACAACCCAAAACTACTCCA